TTCCCTACAAACACCAGCAAATTTCAAAGGGAAAAATGGCGGATTTAAGGGGATTTAAGGGGAGGGAATCTGGATGACACCAACATACCCAGGTGCTCAAGGCACCTGTGTTAGGACAGTCTGACACGGAGCCCCTTCTAATGTGCTGTGTCCAGAAGAGCAGGGGACCACCAAAGACACAGCACCTGAGTCTGGTTCTGAAGAAACACCTGCCAGACCCAGATGGGGAATCCACCTACAGACTGTGAGACCCTGCAACAGTGGCAAGGACCCTAGGAACAGAGTAAGTCAGAGGAACTATTCCAGAAGGACATGACAAACAATGTAACTTGGATCCTAGAAAAAGCAGAAAAAGAGACACTGGGGCATTGGGGGAATGACTGATGAATTAGGAAGGGGTTCTGTAGACTGGATGGTAGAGAGTTGTACCATGGTCAACTTCCTGATTTGGTGGCACAATGACCAATTTTGTGTGTCAACATAACCAGGTTAAGGGGTGCACAGGTAGCTGGTAAAATATTCTCTGGGTGTGTCCCTGAGGGTGTTTCCAGAAGCGATTAGCACTTGAACTGTGAACTAACTAAAGAAGATTGCCTTCACCAATGTGAGTGAGTGCATCTTCTACTGAGAGCCTGAGTAGAACAAAAAAGAGGAAGAAGGTCGAATTTGCCCTGTCGCTTGAACTGGGAGATACACGTCCTGTCCTTGGACATCAGTGCTTCCGGTTCTCAGACCTTCAGACAGACTGAATGACATGACCCGCTTTCCTGGTTCTCCAGCTTACAGACGGCACATTAAGGGGCTTCCCAGCCTCCATGACCCTATGAGCCAACTCCTTTAATAAGCATTTCACACATCTCTCTCTATATATATCCTATCAGTTCTGTTTCTTTGGAGAACCCTGACGAATACAAATGCAATGGGGATATAGAAAAAGGTCATACTTATTTTCAGTTTAGTCTAGGGAAAAGGCCCCCATTCAAAGGACTAACCTATTAAAAATCAACCAGGGCAGGAGGCAAGTGAGTCAGTGAGTTCTCTATCTGAACTCTTGTTTTGGTCTTCAACAACTAGTTATCCCCAAGAGCTTTACTTTGGATTTCTTTAGCTCTCTTTGGGGAACAAATGCCTCTGACTGACTCCACTGCCCACCTTTGACTTATATGGTCTGACTCTATCTGGGGGCAGGTCCAGAATTTCTTTTTTTGTCCTTTAAAGATTTTTATGTATTTATTTGAGATAGAGAGCACAAGCGGGGAGGAGGGGCAGAGTAAGAGGAAGTAGCAGACTCCGCACTGAGCAGGGAGCCTGATGCGGGACTCAATCCCAGGATTATGACTTGAGCCAAAGACAGATGTTTAACTGACTGAGCTATCCAGGCACCCCTTTCTGTAGAGGAAGGGCTTTGGGGCCACCTATCTGTGAGGGGAGACCAGGGCAACCTTAAAGCTTTATTTACAAAGCAAGCCCACTGCTTTTGTTCAGATAGCATGTTTGTTCAGAGGGCCTTTGGATAAATTGGTGGCGTTTATGGAGGGGCTCCACTGCCCTCCAACCCAGCCCTGCCACCTGCCAAGCCATCCCTGAGAAGACCACAGAATCTGCATGGGGCTAAGGTAAGGCCAGAGCTAGCAGCACCTCCAGCCTCATGTCCCAGAGAATAATAAAGCTACCGGGCTAACAGATGAGTAAGTAGGGAGCTGACTAACATCTTTAGGAAGGGCTGAAGCAGGCTGTACAGGGCAGGTTGTTTTCAGAGTGACACCCAGTCTGGCCCAGCCTAAGATGTATGAATGATTCACATCTGAGGAGGGGAGGCAAGGTCTGTGGGAGCTAGTGATGTCAGGGGTCAAGGGAGGAGTTCAAGGCAAGAGGCAGACCGGACGGGAGGACAGGTGTCAGGTACCACACAGGAAGGGTCAGCAGATAAAGATGGATGAGGAATAAGGAGAAGGACATCAGCCTGGGGAACGAAGAGAGATAGGTGCCACCTGGGAAACCAAAACCTTCCTCTCACTGGGTACTAGTCTCCTGGCTCACCAGGAGAGCAACACATCTTTCAGACTCAAATTAAATAATTAGCTTAATTGTTCACAGCAGGGAAATGCACCGTGTTGGTTTAGTGCTTTGCAGGGTGGACCTTAGCAAGTTAGCAAGAAGGCACAGGCCAGGGAGGGTGGCATCAGGCAGTCCTGTTCAATGTCCAGCAACTGCACAACCACGCTCTTCTGACTCACTGGCTGGTGAGCCGGCTCTGTGTTTTTGTCCACTAAGCACTGAGATGAGCGAACAGTACAGGTGATTCTACAAGGGAATTATAGTCTCTTCGGAACTCTGCCCTGTGCCTCCGATCACACAGAGTTAGGTCATCTCAGTCCTGAAACTTCTGTTCCTTGTGCATTCCCCAAAGGGCAGTTTCGCAACCTCTGGCAGGATTTCCTCCCTGAAGTCCGCTTCAGCATGAGAGGGCAGGAGAGAGAGGTGTGGAGGGATGGCAGTTTAGCCCACCCAACACCCACACGGACACCCGACCACCCCCATGCAGCCTGCCTGGGGTGTCCCACAATGTTTATGTAGTCCTCGCTGGGTGCAAAGCTCTTTCACGTAGATGATTTCATGGAACCCACAACACACGCATGTAGGTAAAAAGGAATTACTATCCCTGCTGTATAAATGGGAAAACGGATTCAAGGACAACAAGTGGCTTATTCAAGGTCACAAGAACTCACAAAGGCAGGGCTGGGGCTAGAACCCAGACCGCTGTGCTCCAAGGGCCTCTCTAACTCAGCATTATAAAAGCACAAAGTCTCAGGGCTTCTGTGGACAGGGCCACACCCCTCACCTCAGCCTTCCTCATCCACGGTGGGACTAAGTCCCAGGGGACTCCTTCACAGCCATGCAGAATCCAGGATAAGCAACAAAGGACCAGCAAAGCCAAAGAGAAGGAGGCTCAGTCCCTGTAGGAGGAATGATGCAGGGAAGAGCAAAAGGGCCAGGAAACTGGGGAGAGCAAGAAGCCAAGTACGGGCAACACCTCTAAGTCGCCTCACCTATACCTTGGGGATCTACATTTGCACTCTTGCCAGAACAATGTACATTTGCACCCATGTTTACAGAAATACCAATATTTTAAAGTTTATCTTGGAGGAAAAGATGGCAATCAGCATTTAAGGAGTACTCTGCTAAGTGCTTTCTTTTCTAATCTTGGGAGGTGGATATAAGCTTCATTTTTACAGACAAGGAAATTAAGGCTTAGAGAAATGAAGCAAGGTCACAAAGCCTGGCCTGGAACAAAGGCTTGCCTGACTGTGAAGCCCTGCTCTTTTCCTTAGACTGCATTAATAATGCCCTGGGCCTGGGCTCTGCCATTTAGAAGCTTGCCATCAGGCTTAACCACTCTGTTGGGTCTAATCACAGACAAGAAAGCATTCTGAACTAATGTATCCTCCAAGGGGAATGGCTAATAGGTAATTTGAGTTATAGTAATTCCCATTTGAGTTACAAGGATTCCCTTGCCCCAGCCCAAAGAAATAAGACGTTGGCCTTATGTTATGGTGCATTTCTGCCCCGCGTCAAAAAGACGGAGAACTTGAGGGAGAAGCAGCCCACCGTGGGTCTGTATATATAACTTGGAGAGGGTGCGTCTTGGTTGCCGCGTGGCTACAATGCTGTGTGTGCATCTGTCCCCCTAAGTGTGTGTGTTTTGGAAAGATGAGAGAAAGCATGAGCATGTTGTAGACTCTCAAATGGGTTCTGAGGAACGTACTCCAAAAAAGCAATCACATGTCTTAACTGTTTTCATTTCAGTCTTCATTTACAGGAAACATATGCAGATCTGTTCTATCAAACCTCCTATAAAACAACCAGATACCTAAAATAAATCTGATTTAATATAAAGAGGCTGGTATCAGTTTACACATTTTTCAGATTTAGGGAAGAGGACATGTCATTTATAGTTAAATCAAAGCCAGAAATTTGGAACGCTAATGATAAAAAAGAAAATAAGAAGAATGTGCCCAAATGATCTGCTTTCCTAGTCACATGGTAGTGACAATCAGTATCAGTTATGTTCAGATGGTTAAATGTCCAGATCGGACATGTCTAGTACATGATCTAGGTCCATACAGTCTCAAGGCACAGGAGACAACTCTGGAAGCTTATCTCAAGTACATCAACCTTGCTGGCAGGATTTGTTTGCTGCTCTTTTTAGAATGGTCTAGTTTGTTTAGACAAGCATGAGGTTAACAGAACCAAGGTTGTGTGTTTCTAACTATGACTTCCAATTGAAAGAAAAAAAAAAGGAAAATTATATTTACTGGACTCAGACCACACAAATGTCTTAGGGGAAGCAGGGTTAGCAACTAGGGATTCTTCACTGGGAACTTCAACCACTCTCCTTAGCAACAGAAAAGTCCATGCACTGATGAAATGTCACACAGTGTATGGACGCATAACCTATTGGTAAAGAAGGGATCATCTGTCTGTAACTGCCATTTAGTTTATTCTCCGACTTAAACCCCCACACGTAGGAACCGTGAGAAGCTAAGCGGACCCGAACTTCTAAAGTAACATTCCAAGACCAGGTAATACTCTGGGCAGCAAAGGGGCGAGGAGGGAGAAATGCGTTGCAAAGACAATAACAAATTACAGAGACACGTTTCGTGGAAATTACTCAGTTAAAAAATTGCTTTTGAGGGCTGTTTTAATGATTACCTTAATAAGACTAAATTGTTTCCAATATTCACCGTCACTACTCAAATTACAAGTTGAGAAACTTCTAAGCAATTTTGGGTCGTCGCAACTTGCTGCGGGAATGCAATAAAGTAACAATGCTACAGAACAAAGCACTTTTGTCTGTCGCTGGTGAGGGGGATCGCGGGCACCTTCGCTCACTCACAAAGCACCACCCCCCACAGTGTTACCAGTTGGTTAATAATCTCTATTTCCGGAATCTTTATGCCTTGCACATTTCCAGCTTTTTCGCGGACACACCATCGTACCGGGCGTAAATGGAGGCTGAAAAATGTGACATCCCTGGGCTCCGCCGGAGAATCTCAGTTAACCGTCGACGGGTGTTAAGGCCGAGCTCGGAAAAGAAGCACCTGGGCGAAAGCGGAGGGAGCCTGCGCCGCGCTCCCGGCGCCCTGCCCACCACACAGCACGCGCGGGGCAGCGCCGATCTGGCATCCCGGTGGCTTCTCGCGCCAAGGAAAACAGTGGGGGAGAGGGCAACATGCCCCCCCGCCCCCCCAGAGAGTCTCGTCCCAGGTGCTCGGAGTGGGTTTGGCGCCCGCCGGGCCGCCAGGCAACCCTGGAGTGCCGCGGATCCGGCCCGGCGGAGGTGCGCCCCAGCCTCTTCCCAAGCGCGCCCCGGCCCGCCCGGGCTCCGGGAACCCTCCCCGCGCCCGGCGCCCGCACTCACCGCTCACGCTCGCCCGCCACCGAGCCCGGGAGCGGGGGCCCCTGCGGCTGCCACATGCCCTCGGGGCCGAGCGCGACGAGGCGACCGGGGGCCGGGCTCTGGCCGGGCGCACGGGGCAGTGGAGGACAAGGCGGGTGGGCGGCGGCGCGCCTCCTATCCAGCGGCTTGTGACACGCCCGGAGCCCAAAGAAAGTTTGGCGGAGCGAGGGGTGGCGCCGAGGGGGCGCGTCCCCGCCCTGCCCCGCCCTGCCCCTGGCGTCCGAGCGTTCCCACGGGAGAGCGCCCCCCACCGGCGAGGCACGGATCTGTGCGCCCGGGCGTTCCTGTGGGTGCTGGCCTGCCTGGAACTGGTCCCCACGAGGGTGGCAGGCCCGAAGCAGGACATGGCACCCACTAAAGGACCGTGAGCAGCCACGGGGCTCACAGAGCCATACCTCGGAGCGCGGTATTAAAGCGCTGTCCCTCGCTCCTCACTCTCCTGGGAGAGATGTGAAGGGGCTGAGGGTAAGTGCGGCCCAACCCTTCCAGGGGAGGCAGGCTCACTGCCAGGCTGAATGCTTGCTCTAAAACTTGAACCCTAAAGCTACCCCAGGGTGCAGGCAGCCCCGAGAGGGCAAGCATATTCACGTGCTTCTGACCTGGAGCCTTTCCTGGGCATCTTTTTGTTGAAACAAGATATTTAAAAACAAAACAAAACAAAAAAAAAACTTACAAGTTCTTGAGAGAGGCTGTTTAACCTCCTGGGGTAAATATTCCGGATACTTTGTTTTTCAAAGCTGAAATAGACTCCTTTGACCCACCTTTGGTAAAGAAAGATGCAAAGAGAAACAATGTCTGTTCTCCAGACTTTGTTCTTTCTGAATTTTGCAAAGCAAAATGAAGTCACAGACATGCTAAAAGCTGGGACTTTCTGATAACCTCACAGAGAAAAATACTGTGAAGTGAGATCCTTCTTACTCACACTTCAAAAACCTCAGGAAAGGCCGAGAGCTTATGCCCAGAGGTCTGGCTGTAGCCCTTGGCCATTCGTTCGTTCCTTGTCCATTCGATGTTGATAATAGGACCTCCTGTCAACTAGGAACCATACGCCAGGACATGGACTGTATGGTAACCTGCCCCCTACCGTCCAAGAAATGGAGCTTTCCCTGAAGACAATATTTTAATGTTTTATTCCTTACGTGATGGACCTCATCCCAGAGAGCATGACATCCTGCTACACCTCCAGCTTTCACAGGGATATGGCTAAATCTTGAGTGACGTGTGGAAATTTTCGTTGCTCCACCTGGGTGTTCAGAAAATTCCTGTGGTGTCCTACAGATGAATGGTATGTGGAGGGCTACAACTTGCAGAGCTAGTGCTAAAGAAAGATCATGTTTGGGGCGCCTGGGTGGCTCAGTGGGTTAAAGCCTCTGCCTTCGGCTCAGGTCATGATCTCAGGGTCCTGGGATCGAGCCCCACATCGGGCTCTCTGCTGAGCAGGGAGCCTGTTTCCTCCTCTCTCTCTCTCTGCCTGCCTCTCTGCCTGCTTGTGATTTCTCTCTCTGTGTGTCAAATAAATAAAATCTTAAAAAAAAAAAAAAAAGAAAGATCATGTTTACTGGGACAAGAAAAAACGTGGCAGATGATATATGAGAACAAGGTGAGGGGAGTGAACAGCTCAACTCCAACAGCTAGAGTGCTGAAAGGGCAACCGGGCGAACACAAAAATTCGCAACCACCAGCACTCAGACACTGCTAACGTGTAGTATGTTGAGTAAGTTGTAACTGTAAACGAGCAACTGTAAACAACGGTTAAAGCCTTCTTTTGCTGGAAATTTTTTCCAGGTTCCAAACAACTTACTAGCAAAGGCACTGGGGAAACATGATTGTGTTGTAACTTGGGAACTTCCTGAACTTGAGCATTGCAAAAGAGAACAGGGATTCTGTAAAGGCAAATGTGATTACCTTTAATATAGGAGTCCTAAACAAAGGAGAAAGGAGAAGGGAATATGGTGAACTGGGTTGCAAAAGGAAACAGACATTCCAGCTAGATGATTTTTTTAACTAATGTGGGTCAGAAGTGAGGGAAAGGCAAGAAAGTTAGCCAGAAAAGAAATGCGAGGGAAAGAGGCAGAGAGAACACCCAGCTTATAGACTTATGGGCAGGAAAGGACAAAAGGGACAAGAGTCAAAGCACAAATAAAAAGAAAGATGTGGCCCCAAATTCTCATGTTTGAAAAGAAGCTTCTGGTGGGAGTATCCACCAGAACCTTCCTTAAGTCCTTATAGGTTCTGTGGTGTCTCACTTCTCTACCAAAATGTTTTTATTAGTAAAACTAAAGTTGGCATGAAAAATGACAAATGCCATGGTTGAGGGTATACTTAGTTTTAGAGATCATTGGTTGGAAACTCAACCAAAACTTTTTCAACAAACATTTGCTGATGAGGTTCCTATGTCCTGAGTGTTGTGTTTTGTGTTCCTGGAGATACAAAAATTTATAACATTGTTTCTATAAGGGCAAGAAAGGGACATTCCACTGTGCTTGATGAAAGGAATTGTGATGGCTGCAGGAGCAATTTTAGCCTTGGAGAACCTTTGTCCACCAACATCTACTTAGCAAAGAATAATTTCTGCAAAATAAATATGTAAACAAATAAAACTAAAACCCAGCCTGACACCTACTACAGTGAGCGGCAACACAGGACTCAGGCACGTCATCTCTCCCTCTCAGGATTTATGGTAAGAGACTCATGTTCCTCTGCTCCTTACTTGTTATGGACCTCTGATTGCATGAGCAGAAATTCATAGACTTATCATTCTCAACTTTGGGAAGTCCGAGCTGAAACTGTTAAATTTTTGCTCCTCTGTACTAATTGGCAATGAAGATGCCTACAGCAGATGAATACTGAGAGAAAGTGGAAGGGCACAAGGGATGTAAGTGGTATCTGAAATAACAGTTAGCTAGAAGATGCTGAGGATAGACTGAGGCAAAAGGGTAACTCTGTAGAACCCAAAGGAAAAGAGAGATGGCATAAGCAAGATGATGGCCCCATAGAGTACCTCTCAACTGCATGTAACTCGAAGTGGAAAGGAACAAAGTCACAGAAATATTCAACAAATACCAAAAAATCAAAAATCCAACTCAAGCTCATTTAAATTGAGCAAATCATCTCATATGATGAATGTAAGTCATTCAAAAATTCTTCTTAGATACACATCTTATTACTTCTTAATTTCTGCATATTTTTATGCTTTAGATAAGACTAACCAATTTTGAAAACAAAAGTCATGAGAATCTTGCTATGGCAAAAATGAATATACATTATAAAAGCATCACGAGTGGGTGCCCCTGGACTCAGATTTGAGCCTGTCATGCAGGCATAATTAACTTGCAAAAGCAGCCTGGTTTGGTTGATTTAGATTAGATGGTGAATTTAATTAATAATTAAAACAATATGACACCGGTACGAAGCTAGAAAGACAGAACATTAGACCAGAATACCTATCCATCCCATATACAAATCAGAGTAAGTACAGAAGAAGCTGACATCCTAAATCAGTAGGGAAGGGAAGGCCTATTCAGTAAATTGCCCTGCTATAATTCATTGACCTTTGGGGAGAAATAAGGTTAGACACTTATAAGAGCAACTCTCATATGCATGAAAGTGTTAGTTTGTTAAAAAGGAGAAAGAACCATAAAACAAGCAGAAGCAAAGATTAATATTTATTTGATTTAAAGTTTGTAAAAAATAAAAATATAAAATTTGTGATGAACTTTTTTTTTAAAAAAAGATTTTATTTATTTATTTGTCAGAGAGTGAGAACAAGTAGGGGGAGCATCAGGCAGAGGGAGAAGCAGGTTCCCCACCAAGCAAGGAGCCTGAAGTGGGACTTGATCCCAGGACCCTGGGATCATGACCTGAGCTGAAGGCAGATGCTTAACTGACTGAGCCACCCAGGTGTCCCTGTGATGAGCTTTTTTAAACTTCAGAGCAAGGGAAGAAATCACAGAAGAAATTATTAACTAAGCTGATTGCATGCAAATTAGATGCTCCTACACATAATAAAAATAGTCCTGTAAATTTAAATTTTAGAAATCAAACTAGAAACTCGGGAAAAGACCATTTGCCACATGTGATAGATGACAGATTAACACCCTTCCTACCTTAGTTATTGAGAGGCATGTAGAAAATGAAAAGATTAACACCAAAACAAAAATAAGGCAAGTATATGGGCAACTGGAAAAGAAGAAATACACATGACCAAAAATATATGAATGTAAATTTCAACCACTCTAAGAGTAAGACAAGTGGAAATGAAAATGGGAGACTCCTTTTCACCTAGCCGATGGCAAAGGTTTTTGATTACAGAGATTGCCAATATGAGCTAAGGTATAAGGGAAAAGGGTGACTTCTTGTGGTGTGGGTAGGAATTCAAATTGGGAAAACTTTTCTGGTGGACAATTTGCAATCGAGTATCTTCCATTCATTCTCAGGAACACAGTTGTTTTTCACATTTTAGTGTCTCTAAATTGAGATGCGTTTTATGATCCCTGTCAGCCAGCCAGTGCTCATGAGTTAGTTACCATCGGCTGTGCACCGGGTTTTGAAGACTGGATGTCAGCTGTTGGATGGAATCCTGAAGCAAAGAGTGGAGAACATTTTTAATATATGTTGCATCAAAATGCTTCTGATGCATTCAGGCTGAGGACCACACTGTGT